GACTCATAATTTGCCCGTTGATCTCCACATTGATGCGGCTCTCATCGCTGCTGCCCTCTTCAACGCTAACGCTCTCTCTCTCTCTGCCAAACGACTAGAGATAGAGGGCGAGAGGTAACCTATGGGCGAGGATGCAGAGGCGCGAGCGGCGTGGTACGGTCCTGCTAGGCCGCTGGAGGCATACTGCTCGCTGCGAACCACACATCGTCCTGCACCTTTTGGAGGTCCGCTTGCATTTTGACTAACTATGCGTGTATTTCCCTTTCTCCGAGCTCCGATCTTATCACGGAATCCTCCTTCAGAAGCAAACTCGTGATAGTATAGATGGTACGAATTGGGTTAACTGGATTCAGATGTGAAGCAGGAGGCGCTAGCTGACCGGCCACTGAAGAAAAAGGAAGACGTCAAACACACTGAAAATTAGGTCCAGCGATAAGTGAGTTTCCGAAACTTTCGAGGCACTGTGCGTTTAGGACAAAGGGCAGACCAAAAGACAACAGAGCATTTGAGACGGTAGAGAGGCAGATACCGCATCTTTGTGAAAGCACGGTTGCTTGTTATGTCCGCGGCTGAAATCCCTACGTCTTTGGCCACGCTTGCAAGCGTTTTGAGCCGCAGTTAGCCCTATCTCTGAGGTTCTGTTTTTTTTTCAAGCTACCGTATTCGTGGGAGGGATCGTCTCAGTGTAAGGTTGCGTAATGCTTTCGGAAATAATTAAGGCAACACTGTTTTAACAGAAACTCCTGCTCAGAAAGAAGAAAACACCCTAACACGCCAGTTTTGACCGCAGAAAAATTAAAGAAACGCAGATACCATCAATAGAATGTCCACTCACCGGCGGAAGCGTAGCATCTAACGGTTCTTCCAGATTGAGGATGGAATTTGACGACAATCTGCAAAACTCACTTCCAAAAAATTCATTTCGAGCATTTATTTTAGCAGGATTCCCAAAAATTTTCCAGTAGATAAAATCGAAGAAAAACGAATAATCATGGGAATACTTGCCAAGCAACTTCAAAAAAAAAACAATAAACATAAGCGAAACGAATCGGTGATGCTTTCAAATTTATGAGTCTGCACTGTGAATGTTAAAGTGCTGTTTCAGTGGTTATTAGCTTCCTGCTGGAGGTCATTTATATTCCTCTGGCTTGCTTGATATATTATACTCTAGCCATCTTTGTACGTTCTAAGCCTGAGGTGCTGCTTAAGCATAACTCGAAGATTTCGGCGGCAGGTAAAAGAAGGAAAAAATGAAAGGAGAAAAAAGGCATTGAAAGAAGAAAGATACCGCACTTGCTAGGCATGGCCGGCTGCCATTCTATTAAAGGCCGGAGTGTTTCGTGCTCTGACGATCTCGCAGTCCCTAACTTGAGAAGACCTTTTTGATGACGGCTCAGCTTCCTCGGTAGATGGCTGGCCACGTTTTCGGCCGCGCAGCGATCCCACTTCTTGAGTTGGTTTTCCTGACAGAGGACCTTCAGGAGCCGGAATTATTCTCAGCTAGCTGGTTCGCTGTAGCATTGAAAAGTTAATTCGATGTGTAAAAAAAATTGAAATAAAAGATGTGGATCTCCTATACCACTCACCAATTTCCCGATTTCTTTGCTCCAATCTCTCCGTCATTCGAGCTCGCAACGCCATCATGTCGCCCATCCGATCTTGTTCGTCTTTGGTTGAACAAACAGCCTTTGCCACCGATTTTTGTTTCGCTACAGATTTTCGTGAGCTCTGGAACAGAAATCTCTCGAAGCAAAACAGGCTAACGTGAACGAAAAACCGTTCAGAAAAGTTGTCTAGCGGGAGGTGCGTCTTGGAGATTGTGGAGATAGCCTGGTTCGTTCGTCGACTGGCGGAGGATTTATCCAGAAATCCTGCACCAGAAGCAGGAGGTATTACCGGCAAGAGCGTGCAGCTGACAGGAGCACTCCGCCATGAGGCTTATACTCGGGCAGCTGTCTAACAGCCACTTCTTCAAATACGGCCAACCATAAGAAGTCGGTCTGAAAAAAAAAACTATTCAGTGCTTCAACGAGCAGAATCTTTTCGCTACTAATTAGGTTTTGATCTATGCATCTAGCTGATCATATAGAAAAAATTGCTCACAAGGCTGTCATTACTTGTGTCACCACTTGTCGATCCTGGGGAGGGGATGGTTTCAACGGCTTGGGTCAGGCCTTGGAAGCTGGAAAACCTCAATATAGATATTGCCACTGAATCACTCAAAACTCAAAAAATACTTTGGTTTGAAGGGTTTGTTCATGTCGAGCGTTCTTTCGTTTAACTTCATAGGTCGTAAACGCGAAGGAACAGCAGATATCGGCGTAGATGTTTTGAGCACTTCCTACAATGAGTAAAATTACATTTTTTGAGAATCAACACCGTGGCTGACTCATTGTCAGCAGAATTGGGCCGAATCCTAGTCAAGGCTTAACAATATCCAACTTTCAAACACAGACCGATTCGTCGCTTCTCCTCAAACTGGCGTGTTGTTGCTGGTCTCCTCTTGAGGAGAGTTTGCTCAGGTGTCCTATCTGTTTGCAGCTCATCAACAATCAAATCGGAGAAGTCGTCTCTGGGAGCTTCTTGTACCGAAGACTTCCCCAAGCCGCTACTGCGAAGACGACTATTCCTTGTTGCTTCAGGCCACAAAATTTCTTCGTCCCATTCTTCCTCATACGAACGCATACGCCTCTCCTAAACAATGAATGACTCTCATGGAAAGCTACGCAGCGTCTCAACAATCTCTTTTATGGGATTCTCCACGCATTCGACTAGGTAGTAATTATGTTCAGTAGAAGGACAGCCTTGAACAATGCATACCTTGAGGGAAAATTGATCCTCTTTCATGAGCTTATCGTTTATTATCGACTTCAATAACCCATGACGGGTCCACTACCTGCAAAATGCGTATGCTATGGAGAACGGAAACTTATCAAGAACCAAAGTGACCTTGAATTTCTGTCGCCGTGCTTCCATCACGCGATCCCCTTCACTACCTCCGATGACGTGAGTAACGGCTAGCTGTAAATTAGGTGATAAACAACGAAAAGAAGGTTCACCGGGATGTTATAATTATGGGCAAAATTAGAGGCAGTAATCCGATATTTCAACGACACCATTCTACGGTTACGCAGTAATTATTGCTTACTTCACTGATGATAGCAACTCAGAAAAATAAAAATGAAATAGCTGGCACACCGCAGGTAAAAAAAATGCATGAACAAAACTATTATAGTACCAAATCCAATCAAAACTACTAAGCAAAATCACCTGATCACCGCGATTCCTTCTGGTTAACGTCTCTTGTACCTTTCCACCAAACTCTTTGATGAGTTGGGCCTAGAGTGAGCTGCAATATGACTTCTTCAATAATTGATCTAGGAACCACAAACTGACATTTGCACTGTTTTGTCATGTTCCGGTTCCTATATAAATGCGCCTATTTGAGCCACAAATGAGCAGTTTTCCACATTTAAATATGGAAATGATAAAGGCTTACCCTTTCGTGGTCGCTGAAGCAACTGATGACAGCGACACATTCGAAAACACTTTGCTATCCCTAACTGCTGGGAATGGCCGAAAGAGGATGACTGGACGTGTTTCTAATAGTCGAGTATTCCATCAGGCAGGTTTCTTAATCACCAGTTTGAATGAAGCTACTAAAGGTGGCTCTATAATGTCTCATACAAGCTCAAAAAGAACTTACAACCCAAAATACTGTCACTGCCTCTTCGTAGCTATCCTTGGGATAGACCTGATCGAATTCAATGTGGCTGCATACAAGATAGTTCACATAGGCTGTTCATCAGAGGATGGTACCACTTTACCTTCAAAGAAATAGATACAAATATCATTTTCACGATGGTGACGGTACTCGAATAAATTCTAAACTGATAGAGCCGTCTGGTAGACGGAGAACCGCTAGGATAAACCAGAAGGAGACGAAAGTCCAGGGCACAAACTGATGCATTCACGGGGAGAAATGACAAGCACCACCGTGCGGAGACAACAGGCGGTACGCTGCCATCACAGTCTCATCCATGTCACCACATCTAGTCTGCATAGTTTCCATTCTTTTACTTTAAGATCGAGATCCCCGTGAAGCCTTCAAAGAAAGCACCCCCTTTACCACATAGAGTACAATAGCAGTTTTGCGTCGGAAACAAATCAAAGTAAAAATTTCGTATCATTCCTGATGAACATCGGAAGCTAAAAGGTTCTAGAGAAAGGATCTCACCTTCCCCAGATTGCAGCTCCTTTACAGTTTGAGCTTTAACGTCGTCGCCCAGACCGCCGACACGAAATTTCAAACCACTGAAAATTTTTACATTGGAAACCTTTGAATAATGAATCGTCGTAAATCTACATAGGAAAGTTGTCAATTAATGATATGATGATGCGCAAATTCTACCAAAAACAAACAAATTTGTCATGACAGGCAAATATTTTTGATCCAAAGCAAAATATTCGAAACCGAATATACAATCGAAATCATTATATGTATCAAAATCAAATCTAACCAGATATAACCAATTTGTGAAGTCTCACTACCCCACAGCGTAATGACGAAGACGATCGGCAATATATTATAGTTGATAAGTTCTCACCGAAAGATCGAAGATAACTTCGGATCATCAGAAATGTTGTTGAGCGGAGCGAAGTTGAGATAGTCGGACGCACCCAAGTCTTTTGTTGCTGTTGTAGAGCC